GTTCGGCTCGAGCCAAGGATTCCGGTGATGTAAGACACTTGGGTCTGCGACCGACGGTCGAGGAGTTACGAGCCATTTCGTACTTTTGATCGCTGCAGCGCCACCTCGGCCCGATCGGGGCGAGCCTTGGTGAGGTTGTAGTACCGGGCCGGTCCTACCATCCCTCAGAGTTTCAAGTCTCTACCACGGACGCTTTGGTCTGCCCACTCACTTTTAGGGCGGAATGTTGATGATCCCAAATCCCAGGTTGCACTCCAGAGTGTCGTGCTGTGCATTCTGTTGTGATCCATTTTCGGTGTCAACCAATCTGAGCTGAGCTTGTTTGCCGGCGACCTTAGACCCTCTCCGACCTTAGGCTCCCCGCCTCGGCGTCGCTGCGTCATCGCTTCTCGGCCTTTTGGCTAAGATCAAGTGCGGTCTTTGTCAGACGGTCGGGTTTCGATCGCCTCTTTGTGGGTTTTGGGTTGTGCTTCTCAATAGCACTTTCCATACACCTTCTTTTAGAGGTATATTTGTACTGTTCACAGCTGTACTTTTTTTCGTTTTACTATTTATTGTTCTAAATTCTGTGTTGCTTTTGTTTTTAAGCGGAGTAGGTTTTATCGACACTCTTTAAAGGTGAGTTTTTCTTCTTATCTCTTTAGTTCTGTTTTATATTGTTATTTGCCTGATAGGTATTTTAGAGTACATTGGTTAAGCTGTAGGTGCCTCCAACATGTCGGCTGCTCGTGCCGGCATGCGGAGGCACCACAGCGCACGCTTCCTTTTTCTGGAAAAAGATGGGAAACTAGTAGCCATGTCTAGACTGGACTTTTCAAGGAAATTGATCCAGAACCTTTTAAAATTTACACCAGCAGATTTGAATTGTATTTTGACCCTTCCTTTTAACAAAGGTTTTGATGTGAGTTTCCGAAGCGCAGCACTGTTAAATGACTTCTGGCATAAATTTAATCTACACAAGACCCAGTTCTCCATGTTCAAGGTTGAGAAACTAACTGACAATACTCAAAAAGTGGTTATTGTCAGAACGTTCAATGAAACTGTTAATGGAGAAGATATTTGTACATGGCTGGGAAGATACTGCACTGTAACGGGCCAGGCTATGAAGGTATATGATGAGGACGGTATATGGAATTGCTCCTGGAGAGTCCCCATAAAGCAATGGGAAGACCCCCAGGGCTTCCAAGGTCTGAGACCTATACCACAAATGATAGTTCTTGGCGAAAACAGGGGCTACATTTATTACCAGGGGATGCCCAAACTCTGCCGGCGATGTGGGGAGTTTGGTCACCTTGTTGAAGCATGCCAGGAAGTTTATTGTAACAAGTGCAGAGAAATTGGACATTCTTTTGAAGAGTGTCCAAATGGCAGAAGGTGCAATCTTTGTGGAGACTCCAACCACCTCTACAGAGATTGCCCAAAGTCGTTTGCCAACAAAGTTTAAGTCAAACAAAATGGCGCCGGTAACAGACACAGCTGGAGAAAATGAGGGGGTGGAGCCAACAGGTTTGAATTTGAGAGGAAGTGACATCATGGAGGAAGGGGCCAATGAGGAGGAGACACAACTCCCCACACAAAATGAATTGTTTGAAATCTGAGGCTGCGTCCAAAACCGCATACTCAATGAGTAGGTACTTAATTTCAATAAGTACTTACTCAACGAGCGCTAAAAGAGTAGGTACTTTATAGCCAAATCTCGTTGAGTATGAATGAGAACCGGACATCTGCCATGTTGACGTTATCATGTGACCTACTACGACGTGTTATCATCATATCACAAGCGCAAAGAAATGAACAGCGACACGTTTAATTCTTCTTCTATCTATAAATATCTTGACATTGATGAAACTTTCTCATTTTGTTGTGGTATTGTTGAAGAAACAGCTGATATTTTTTTTATTAAGAAACCCCCAAATCGTCACCTCTTGAATATATGTTGTTAATTTCTTTATTTTATACCCAAAACGTTTCTCCTTTAAGTTTTCCTCCTTTTCTTGATGATTTACCTCGTTTCATCCCTCAGACCTATAACAACAAAACAACAACATTTTTCATGTATTATGAAGAACTATTTAAAGATATTTAGCCTTGTTATTGTTCCTTTTTCCTGTATTATGATGTAAACAAACCAATGATCTTTATGTTTTCTGTTTTGTCATTATGACTATTATGGTATCTTTCCATGATCTTGTATGTAATACGTTTATAAGTTTAAATTATGAGTGACAGGTGTACTAACACTTCATAACATCAGTGACTCGACAGCACAACCTAGAACAGTTTTCCTCTGCGTTTGTAATGTCTGCACAAAGGAGACGGGCAGCTGCTCGAAGATCTCTTTTGGAGAAAACTGTTGATTTTATACTCGAAAAATGTAAGTATCACTCCTTAAAAATTAATATTACCTCAGAATGAATTGCATTGTTAGCCCACCCCAAAACTTAAACAAAATAATAATATTAAATGCTGACCAATACTTAATTATATAACTTTTTTATATACTAAAAATATAATTTAATATAACAAGCAAAATGTAATTTGTTTTGTCATATGACAGTTATGCATGAATAAATTTATATTTATAAATGCAGTGAAACATCTCAATTATCAGTCAATCGATGAATTAATGGATACATTAAATAATTCAATTTTATATACTGACAACAATAATAAAAATGAATAAATGAGTAAAAGAACAAATAAAAGTAACCATCACAATAAACAAATGCATTATACAAGTCAACAACACATGAAACAAAGCTTTATTCAAACTACAAACATGTATTTACAGGGCTGAACACCATAACCTACTGCCGACTCAACACAGCGGTTCCCATTCTGCGGCTTTATTCTGATGAATTCACCAGAGGGGACTGTGCCTTCGTCCCGGAGCTTGTTGCTGCGCTGCGCTTCACAATCTGAGGCAATAAGGGCAGGTGGAGAGATAGAGGGTCTTGTAAGGGCAGGTGGACAGATGGAGCGTCTCATCCATGGCACCACTTCCAGGATGCAGCTCTAGGCTCCTCATCCTCAGTGCTCACACCAGTCTGCAGACATTTCAGATCCTACAAAAATGCACAAACATTATACAAAAGCAGTAATTTTAACACAATGTCATTTGATTTATGTATTAAAAATAACCTTACTTTATATTTGAGTAAAATCCCTAAAACAAATGCTGCCATCATCTTTCCTTGCAGGTCCTGCTCCACCCTTACAGAAAAAACACATGAATTTCACATGTTATCACATGTTTTCCACATGTGACCACATGTGTCCACATGTGACCACATGTGCCCACATGTGAACACATGTGAACAACATGTCACCACATGTGAACAATGTTTCACCACATGTGAACAACATGTCACCACATGTGAGTAATGTTCGACCACATGTGAACAATGTTTCACCACATGTGAACAACATGTCACCACATGAGTTATGTTCGACCACATGTGAACATCATGTCACCTCATGTGAACTTAATGGAACACGTGGCACATGTGGAAAACATGTTATAGGTAATAATGTGGAGCTGATGTGAAATATATTTGCACGTTGTAATAGGTTTTAACATGTGAATTATGTTACCACGTCACAAATACTGTACATTTTTAGCCTTATTCACACAAAATGCAGAACATAAAGCTTATAATGCATGTGTAGGCCTAGGCCCACATATGCCTATACTAATGTGAAAATATATTCATCATGAAAATATTTTAATAATAATGTAGCGTATAGTTTTTAATCAAGTTTGTTTTAATTGCAATACTTTTATTTCAACACTGTTTACCATTTCTAAAGCTATATTATAAATATAGTTTACATAATCAACAATATAATTTTATATTTGATATAATCAATAGGCTACTGCTTTCATATTCTATTTACACAGCACTTTCAGGACATGTTTATTATATGTACATCCCTATAGTATATGTTTTAAGTGCTGCATGATTTTGACGTGGTTTAATCAATGCCATGCACCTTGAAATTTCGAGTCTCTCAAACACCGGAGCGGGCGGCGCGCAGAGTTGCCATGGAAACGGCGCGGGACCACTGCTTCTGGTAAACAACGAAACTCCCTCTCTCGCTGTTGTTTCAACTTTTCACGGCTTTTTTCAGGTGAGATTAGTCTCTAAAAGCACACGAATAATACTCACACCTGTTTTTTATTACATTTCTCCTGCTTGTAATTGACAAAAATGTACTTTATCGACATGGTGTAACGTTAGTGTCTTCGGAAAAAGTCCGTTAGAGGTACTGAGGTAGCAAGGCTAAAGAGGTAGCAGCTAGGCTAGCTAGCAAGGCTAACGTAACGTTAACTCGGCTAAACTTTTATTTATTAAAGTTTATTTTAATCACCTCTTATGTGTAGATGAGAGGTTTTGTAATGGTTTTACTGGGAAGTGAGCTAATTTATTTAACACAAACATAAACATAACGTATCGGTGATGTTACTTTCAGTTTCAGGAGCAATAAAATTGGCTGAAACTAACGTTAGCTAGCTCAATGGTAACGTTAAACACATTTTGATTAAAAAATGTTCTGTGATTTCTGTAGTACCAAAATAACCCATAACAGACAGAAAGCTCCACGACTTCAACATTTCTGAGGAAAGCTGCTGCCGGAGAAGTAACGTTAACGTTAGGACACGTGAGCCGAGGAAGCTCATTAAATAACCTCATTTTATTTCTCAAATTAATTATTTTTAAATTGTTTATTTTAAGAAGGATTTGACATCCAAATGAAGTTACACTGTATGAGCAAAATTAAATGAATAATAAACCCAAAAACAAATTATTTTATCCTAGTTAAGAAATTATATTCTGTATTTTAAATTATTTCTCTTTTCTGCATTTCACCTCTGCTGTAGATTCTTTCCTTTTAATAAACCTGGCATTGTATAATAACATTGTTGGCTCAGTGACAAATGGCTTGTTGTGTTCCTAGGTCCTTCAGTGCTGATGCCCTGCAACGTATTGAAGTGGAGTTGATCTTCATCTCTAAAGCACTACTGATGAACCATATGATTAGTAAGTAAAACGCCAAACATACACTAATGTCAAACCTACACTAATGTCAAACATATACTAATTGTCTTGGTACAAATGTTTATGTCTCTTATGTTAACAAAAAAAAAAAAAAGATTTAAAAATAATATTGTGAAATAATATAAATAAAAAAATGTTTTCAATGTGAATATATTGCAATTAATTCCTGTGATCAAAGCTGAATTGTCAGCATCACAGCTTCACATCATCCTTCATAAATTATTCTAATATGACGATTTGATGCTCAAAAAACATTTATGATTATTATCAGTGTTGAAAACAGTTGTGCTGTTTCATATTTTTGTGTTTTTCAGGATTATTTGATGAATAGAAAGGTTTAAATAACTGCATTTATTTGAATATGCATTCTTCCTGAGTAAAAATATTAATTTCTTCTTTTTTTTTGTTTTATTAATTTTTAAATCTATCACTGACCGCAAATGTTTGAACATTAGTGTAAAATACCCTTCATACAGTATGTTTGTGGTCTATTTAACAATAAATCCTGGAGGGGGAAAAATGGTTTAAACTGTTACAATGGTTTACATAAAACACAATAATCAGCATAACTGTTTTTAACATTGATAATAATTAGAAATGTTTAGGATGTTTACATTGTAAGAATGTATAGTATTCAAATATAAAAAACACTGACTCGTTAGGTCATGTTTTCTTTTTAAAGTCAGATGATTTCCTATTAATTCAATTGAATATGGTGACTTCAATTTACATGACTTCATGAGCAATCAAGTCATTTATATAGATCAGTGAGTAGTGCCCAGCAAGTCCACTAAAGGAGATTTCTCGCATTTTACCCCTAAATTCTGGAATAACTATGAAGGTAAAAGAGTAACAAGACTCGAGCATGAACAATAAATAATTTACTAAAATTTACATTCACAGCTCCAACGTGAAAACCTCACCTAATACGTAATAACGTTGAAAAGATCACGGTTTCTGTCCTGACGAAAATTTTCTATTTTATTTTTTGCTTTGCAGAACAAGTCTGTGACTGACTTAATGAACCCAGTTGGTTTGGATCATGCTCAAAGATGTAAGGGTTACAAAAAGTTAACCAGAACTCTTATGGACTCCATCTTCTCTTTCAAAGAGATGGCAACATGAACGGAAAAAAGGGGTTGTTGGTGAAAAAAGAGCCTTGACCTACAAAAGGTGCAGCTAATAATTGGTAAGCATGTCTGAATATCTTTTATCAATAGTTTTTATATGGCACTGAGCGCGTCTGTCAGCGACAGCCATAGCGTGGAAAGCACAGTTTGAATCTGGCAGTCATGTCACGTCATGACAAACTTGTTTTCAAATTTTAATGTAATCAATCTCATTTCTTACAGACCATATCAAAAAGAGGCACCCAGGCATCGGAGGCACTGAGATTAAGGTCTGCATGGCACAAAAGTTAAAAGATCTGAGGAGACGAGCAGAAAGGTAATATTCAGACGATCCAACATCCAAGTGTGATCCCCATGTGCCTGTTTACATTTGCGAAACCGTCATGAGTGAGGACTGAGGACTCAGTTTATTCCTCAGTCTACATTGTGATCTATTCACAAACTGTCAATAGTTGTTTTTTTTTTTTATAAATGAGACGCACCACTCGTTTTATACAGTTGTTTAAGCAAGATGCAAATGGCATTGCTGTTTGCCAACATGTTTTGCTCATAGCATATTTACGTAGGGCCCTATAATTTCCGCGATCACGGGATCGCGGACGGAATCGCGGAATTGGCCAATTAACGCAGAATCCAGTGTTAACGCGGAATTTCGCGGAATTTTACATATTTGGAATGAAATTCGGTTTTTGTGTGGGAGAAGAACGTATGTCTGGGGAAAATGCAGAGAGACGGGGAAGCAAATCTGGGCGACACAACCCCTCCCGTCATTTCAGCTCATGACTGCATCAAAACAATAGCCGCGTTTCCACTGAAAGCATGGCGAAGCGGCTCTCCACGGCTCTGCTTTCATCGACGAAAAAGTTAAGAAACTCGTCGCACACACACAAAGTCCTCTCCGTGTACGTCTGTCTATGAGGTGCCGGACCGAGTGTGTGTCCGAGTCGAGAGAGCGCGCGCGAGAGAGAGACAGCACGCTCAACAGTGCGCACGAGAGAGACCGAGTGTGTCCGAGAGAGCGCTCGATAGTGCGTGCGAGAGACTGAAGCTGCGTCCCAATGTGCATACTATGCCCGAAATAATATTGACAGTTACTAATGTCACATACTATTTAGGATGGATAGTATGCACATTACGACGCAGCTAGAGTGTGACTTTTATTTTAACTTATATAAACTAATATAATTTATTTTACAGGACAGTTTAAAGCTCATAACCGTGTTATGCTGCATCATGCAGTATTTGTCATTTTAAGAGAAAATGCCTATTTTATTTGTGTACATTTTAATCATTAACATTAAAAGCACACTCTTTTTACAACTAAAATAACAGTAAAGCGTAAAAAAAACGGAATTTGCTAAAATTGAAACGGAAAAAACGGAATTTGGGAAAAAATAAAACGGAATGTTTAATGACATAATAATAATATAATAATAATAATAATATTACAAATGGATAATAATTAAATTAATTATTTAATTAATTAAGCCCCATTCAATTTAAGCTTCAAAAATGCTTTTCAGAAACCTACGGGGTGACGTCATGGACACTGCGTCCATATTTTTTTTTTTTTACAGTCAATGGTTTGCACTGCCCTAATCTTTGATCTTTTTCTATCCCAAAACAGGATGCCTGCTGCAGAAGACACAAAGGACTGAGACACACTTTTACAAACGCACACCACACACACTGACATGCGCGTACCTGCGTTTTTTTTTTTTTGTGGCTTTTTATGTATAATTTTAATTTGGTTTTGCTTTGTTTGTTTTAAACATTCAATTTGTATTGCATATTTTGAAATGAAATAAAAAGTAAATTTGAATTATTTGGTTTAATGTTGGGAAACATTAGGCTATAGACCATACAAAAGAACACGGTAGGCCTACCATTTTCTGTGGTATATTGCTTAATGGTTTTTACATGGATTTCACATGAAGTTACAGGTTTACATGGTGTGTAGCTTTAACATGGATAGTTCATGGGTTTCACATGTGAATAAATGTTTCACATGGGAATTTTAGGTTGTACATGTAAGCTCATGGATTTCATATGGGAATTTTACATTTCACATGCAATCCCATGGGTTTCACATGTAATCACATGGGTTTGGGTTTCACATGCAATCCGACGGTTTCACATGTAATCACATGGGTTTCACATGTAATCATATGGGTTTCACATGGGTTTCACATGTAATCACATGTGTTTCACATGGGGATATGTTCCAAAAGCACATGTTTCCCATGTTTAACATGTGCAAAGCACATGTGTTGCACATATTTCACATGTGCAAAATCACATGTCCACGTTGTCACATGCAATCACATGGGTTTCACATGCAATCACACAAGGGTTTCACATGCAATCACATGGGTTTCACATGTAATCACATGGGTTTGGGTTTCACATGCAATCCCATAGGTTTCACATGCAATCACATGGGTTTCACATGTAATCACATGGGTTTCACATGCAATCACATAGGATTCACATGTAATCACATGGTTTGGGTTTCACATGCAATCCCACAGTTTCACATGTAATCACATAATCACATGGGTTTCACATGGGAATATACATGGGTTTCACATGCAATCACATGGGTTTGGTTTTCACATGCAATCCCACGGTTTCACATGGGTTTCACATGTAATCATATGGTTTCACATGGGTTTCACATGTAATCACATGTGTTTCACATGGGGGTATGTTCCAAAAGCACATGTTTCCCATGTTTAACATGTGCAAAGCACATGTGTTGCACATATTTCACATGTGCAAAATCACATGTCCACGTTGTCACATGTGATCACATGTGTTTTTGCACATGTGAAATATGTGCAAAGCACATGTGTTGCACATATTTCACATGTTAAATTTCACATGTGCAAAATCACATGTCCACATTGTCACATGTGATCACATGTGTTTTTGCACATGTGAAACTCATGTGGTTTTTCTGTAAGGGCACCACAAAAGCTATGCAGCAAATGCACAGAAATCAAGAATCAGAAAAGTGTTGTAATTTCTCGACTTGAAATTTGTACAATAATTCAAATAAACTACAATTTAAGATTGAATAGATTTTGTTATCCATTTCTGTAGTATACTCACTCAGAGCCTTTCATGACAGCATTCAGCATCATGAGCCTCTCTCCAGCAGATAAACACACGCGTGTTCTTCTGTCCCTGTAACATACAGACAAGATTCACATTACGAGTTCAACACTGAATTTACATGCTGAGGTTGATGTGTTAACTCACTTTTAATCCAACTTAAATGTTCCTCAATATATCAACACTAATAAGGGACAAATTAAATATAACATATTTAGTTACTTTATAGATTTGTTTATTTACCTTATTTACAGTACATTTGTCTAATGTAAGTAGTGTTGACAACAGTGAATTATCCTTCATATTAATAGCACACATAACGTTACATCACTCAGATGTATTTTTCATGTTGGGATGTGCTCATCTGCAATACTTAAACAATATTTTCATTTCAGATGTAAATAGACATTTTAAATAAGCGTATTTAAGATGTAACGTTATATGGTTATGTAAATCCATTTTAGAAACTTACGTGTAGCGTACTTACTGGAGCTCACCAGTTTAACTAACTAATAAAACATGTGTTTACAGCAAAATCACAACTATACTATACTGTCTAAGTCCTTTAGACCTTCAACAGTTAAAACGTTTACTCTATAGTAGTTTAACACATACGATTTAAACACAAGAAACCGTGTTTACTCACATTTGAAAACCCCTGCTGATCTCCGATGTTGATAATGACGTATGCTCTCCCGTGGCCTCCTGGGATAGAAGAGTATCCATCGGATGAACACTCAAAAATCGGGGCGAAAGCAGGAGATCATCCGGGAACTTCTCGCCTACTCTTTTATGAGTACTGAGGTTTCGGACATACTACTCATTTCAAATACTGTTTCCCCCTACTATATAGTACGAAAGTAGGAATATTCGGACGTACTATAAGTATACGTATGCCCGAATCTCGCGATAATTAGTACGTCACTCTGGTAATTCTCGCCTACTCTTTTATGGATACTAAGGATTTGGACATACTTATTCGCTCGCCTACTGCTTTTTCCATACTATATAGTAGGGAAGTATGCGGTTTTGGACGCAGCCCGAGACTTACTCGCCTCCTCTTCTTTTTCTTGTGTTTCTTCAATTACATCACCTTTCTGTTCTGAGGTCTTTGTTAATTCAAAGTATAAAACCCAGCCGACGAAAAAGAGGGCTGCACTCTCCCCTCTAACAAAGGAAAAAGAGAAAAAAGAGCGAATAACCCAGTTCTCAGATTCATCCTCTTCGGATGACCTAAATAGGTTATTCCCCCAATTTTCTGCCAATGAGATCTCCTTCTTGGCAGTGGAGCTTAAAACATCAACCCACAGAGCTACATTTGTTAGTTCAGAGGGAAGTCATCCCCCCACACCTGAGTCCTTCACTTTAGGAATCAAGGAGGGGCCGGACTTACAAGAGATAGAAGAACTTGATGATTGAAAACTGATCTCTTATTAAAAAAAAATTAACTCTTAAAATGTCTTACCTGTTTTTTTACATCACTCTATTTATGACTTTAACCATTTCTACTTTGAACGTAAGATGCTTGAAATCTTTGACCAGAGCACACATGGTTTTATCCTTTTTAAGTACACTCCCAGGGGATATTTTTCTATTACAGGAATGTGCCCTTCCCTTTCAACAAAGCTACAAGCAATGGCAAGACATGTGGCCACATGGACCGTCCATTTGGAGTGGCTCCAATTTGAACAAATCGGATGGAGTAGCGATTTTAATCAAAAAACCCCAAATCTTGGTGAAGGGGAGCACGGTGATAAGGGATGGACGAAATCTGTTAGCTCTTTTATCTTTTTTAGGCAAAGACTTCAAAGTTGTAAACATTTATGGACACTCAGAAAAAAATGACAAGTATGACCTTTTTAAAGACATGCAGTCCCACCTTTTAGGCAATCTTCCTCTAATTTTAGCTGGCGATTTTAATTGTGTTTTGAAAAAAGAAGACAGGAAAAGGGCGGGAGAGGATTTTAAAACGGACAAAACATCTCTTTTTTTAAAGAATATAATTCAGGATTTTAGCTTGACGGACACTTTTAAAAGCATGCATCCTGGGGAACTAGGCCACACTTGGGCCAGTAGTGATGGCACTAAAGCCTCCCGTATCAATTATATATTTACTAGAGACCTTATGTCCCTCGATGCTAGATTAACCCCCCTCTTTATTTCCGACCACGCCATGCTATCCTGCACTCTTTCACTTCCATCTGGTGTAACAATTGGTAGAGGTCTGTGAAAACTAAACTGCTCCCTCTTAGAGGACAAGGCAATAGCCAGAGAATATAGAGAGCAGTATAGTCAATGGCAGACCATACAAGACCTATACGATTCACGTGCACAGTGGTGGGAGATGGTGAAGGGAAGGACCCAGACTTTTTTTAAACGAGCAGGTAAGAGGAAAAAAATGAAAGAAAAAAGACATAAGGTGGGACTGCAAAAAAGATTACAGCGATATTTTAACTTACAAAACCAGGGTTTCGATTTTAAAGTAGAAATTGAGGAGGTAAAAAAGGAAATGCAAAAAATATGCGAGGTAGAAAGCAAAGGCATTATACTCAGAAGCAGGGAGAGAGACTTAGAAGAAGGAGAAAAATGCTCAAGATACTTTTTTAAGAAAATTGTCAGCAGAGGCAACGCCATCACGAAATTAAAAACTAAGGAAGGGGAAACTAAAGCAAATACAAATGATATCCAAAAAATAGTAGAGGAATTTTATACAGAATTGTATGCGGAAAAAGAAATTGAAGATTCGATTTTAGAGGAAGTTTTAGATTTTATCAAAGAGACACCTATAGAACCTGACTCGCTTGTAAACGATTTTAATTTATCTGAAATAGACAATGCTTTAAGGAATTTTAAAAAAGGAAAATCACCGGGGCCGGATGGACTCCCGGTGGAATTTTATTCAACCTTTTGGGATATAATTAGACATGACTTGTTGACAGTTTTAAATAATTTGGAAACAGACGACCACCTCCCAGACAGTTTTAAAAGTGGTGTTATGACCCTTTTATACAAGAAAGGGGAAAAAACGGATATCAAAAATTGGCGTCCCATAACACTTTTAGATCTTGACTGCAAAATTTTTAGCAAACTTTTAACCTCACGAATGTCTACAGTTTTAGGAAGACTCATCCACCCGGATCAAGCCTGTGCTGTCCCTGGGAGGAGGATCACGGACAGCCTCATATTGATCAGAGACGCCATCTGTTACGCGAGAGACAGAAATATTAGGCTAATAGTAGTAAATTTAGATTTTGAAAAAGCTTTCGATCGGGTCTCGCACCAGTTCTTGTTTCAAGTGCTTGGAAAAATGGGGTTTCCTAGGAGGTTTCTAGCTTGGGTGGGTCTGCTATACAGGGACATAACTAGCAAAATCTTAATAAATGGGAACCTTTCAAAAGCGATAAATATACGTAGTGGCATCCGTCAAGGCTGTCCATTATCCCCTCTCCTGTATGTGGCTTGCATTGAACCTCTTGCACAAATCTTGAGAAGGGACAAACGGATACAAGGACTGACTATACCAGGAACCATGGGACTGACCGCAAAGACCATTTTATATATGGACGACATAAACATTTTATGTACAGATATTTTATCAGTGCACAGGACCATGGACTTGACTGACCGTTTCGGGAGGGCATCAGGGGCAAAATTAAACAAAGAAAAAACACAAGCACGATTTTATGGCCCATGGAACACCACAGAAAAAGCTGATTTAGATGTAAATTTTCAAAAACAGGAACTCAAAATACTCAGAGTGAAATTCGACAGAGAAGGGGGAGGGTCGGGGAATTGGCAGGAATTAATGGCAAAAACTAGAAGAAATTTAGGCCTGTGGGGACTTAGACAATTGACCCTAGAAGGAAAGGTTTTAATCATTAAAGTTGTGGTTTTACCCCTTTTTTTACTGTTTTGTTCTGTGTTTTATCCAGTCCCTACTGCTGGCCCTTGACAGAGCCATCTTTTTATGGGGAGCCAAATGGGAAAGGACCAAACGAGAGGAAATAAAGAGAGCCCCCCAAAATGGAGGAAAAGGAGTGCCGGACCCCTACCTCTTCCTGGGAGCTATATACACAGCTTTACATTTAAGATACACTACAGCCCCTTTTAAACAAAACTGTGGAAATGGCATATTTTTGGATGGGTTCTTACTTGAGAACAAAAAAAATGACAAAAAAAGATCAAACGACACCATGTTCTTGGGAGCAGCCCCCTACATATTGTTTTATAAAAAAGTTTTTAAAACGTTTTAATTTGGAAAATGAAGACTTAACCCTTCTAACAAATCATAAATCCATGCTTTTTGTTTTAAAGGAACGGGAGAGAACATATAGATAAAAGGCCTTTCTGTAGAAGAAGCACGTGAGGTTTGGAAGAATGTGTCCCACCCGACCCTTCACAACAGACATCGAGACCTGGCATGGATGGTGGCTCACGAGACCCTCCCGGTCAGGGCCGTGATGCACTCCCGGGGCATGGCAAGGACATCTACTTGCCCACGGCCGGGTTGTGGCGTGCCCGAGACCGTGAGGCATTTGCTCTGGGAGTGCAGCGCTGCGAGGGACCTGTGGGCAACAGCTGGTCCCCTGCAATTCCCATACCTGCCAGCAGGTGGGGTCCAAAACTACAAGACCTTAGTTGGGTGTTTGAGTCAAGAAAAGATGCCAGTGGAAACTCGCACCAACTTTTGGATTACGGCAAATTGCATCAAAGACGCTATATGGACCTCAAGAAACCTGCTGGTGGGGAAGCACTTGCAGGGGTCCCTCCACGCCACCTTACAACTGGCCAAACAAAGGCTGCAGGTGTACCCCGCAAGATGCCACTTGGACGTGGGGACCAGAGCTACACAGAGAAAGGTCCCCGTAGCCACGGACCCTGACTGCCCGTAGATGCCCCTCGCTCCTTTCTTAGGTGGGGCAGCGGAGCCTCGGTTCCACAGAGTCTCCTCTGAGCACACATGCCAAGGTCTCGAGCTCTGTTGTGAGGGACAAATGTTGACACATAAATCTATTTTAAATAACTTTAACCTATTTAAATTTAGTCAGCTCCATAAATCACACAATCTCCCGTTCCCGGAATGTGGTTTGATGTTGTTGTTGTTTTTACTTTGCCCCTGTATTTTAATTATTTTAAATGTGCCCCTTTTCAGTCTTGCTCTTTCCTTTTAAAATGTAGACATTTTAAACTGTGAACTGTAAACATTGTATTTCAGCTTCTTGGTGTCAATAAAAATTTGAAAAAGAAAAAATCTGTTCTTATCAGTTTAATATCTGATACGTGCCCTACCCGGGCATTATATATTACATTGATTTTTGGTCCTGGGAGATGGAATAGGGGCTTGCTCCGTCCACTCCACGCATCGACCCGGTATTGCAGTACTTCTGGGAACGGTGCACCCTCCTTAAGTGTTCAATGAAAGAAATGTAGTGGTCTTGTGTGGCAGAAGGTGATAATGGAGCTAGTGTGAGTGGGTGTTGTAGGTGATCATGTGCTATACTAGCCTGGGTAGAATTGTGGTGTAAAAACAAGACAAAAAGGAACCCCTGTTCCTCTGTCGGTTTAACATCTGATCCGTCCACTATTCGGGGACGGCGCATTATGTACATTTATGGCTCATGGAGCCGGATGCGGAGCGTGCAAAAAAAAAAAAAAAGCCCCTTTTTTGACTGGCAAACCGCTGGTGAGGATTGGGGAGAGGGACAGGGTGCTTCTGACTGAAGGCCTGGGAATTCATACTTACCTGGCAGGGGAGACACCATGATCAGGAAGGTGGTTCACCCAGGGCGAGGCTCGGCCATTGCACTCTGGGTTGTGCTGACCCCTGCGAATTCCCCAAATGCGGGAATCTCGACTGCATAATTTATGGTAGTGGGGGACTGCGTTCGCGCTCTCCCCTGGACAACACTGGTTAAAAGGGCAGATTGTTAAAGCTCCACTTGAGGTTCTTTTGTTTTGTTTTTTTTCTCCACTTCTTCAATATCCAGAGGCAGTCCAGAGAGTTGAACTGCGGTGGTTGCTCGAGAGATACGAAACAGTCTAGGACCGGTCTGTGTGAGGAGGGTTTTCTTTTTTCTCCTTAATTCTTCAAATAATCTCCAATATTTGACGGACGACTTAGTTCACAGCAGTTGTCCTGGAAGCAAAGTTGTTCGGAATGAGGAGTTCTATCATGTGGTATGAAAACATTGTGCACGTGTGAAACGTCACGTGATATACAGCCACCCATGTTGTGTTTTTTTCTGTTTACAGTGCCACCAAGTGGCCAGTCGCCGCATTCCTCTTCACGTGACCAGGGGCTGAGCCCGTACACAGGTGTACCGAGTTGGGTGCAATTGTCTCATTCCGTTGGAGAGTTATAGCCATTTAAGTAAAGCCCGCCTCGCCCACCCCCAACGTTTTGGCGTACCGTCGCCAACGTGGATGGAAATTCCAACTGTTTCCCGATCCCTGTTGGCAGTCAGACTCCAGAGAATCTTTCTGCACCGGTTTGGGTCAGATCGGGCAAAAAACCTAGGACTAGTGTGCAAAATTAGGTTTTTCAGAAAATCCAAAATACCCGAAAATCTCGCCAGCGCGACCACCCAATCCGGCCCAGGTGGGCGTGGCCTTTGCCAGCTCCCCCGCCTCGGCGTCGCTGCGTCATCGCTTCTCGGCCTTTTGGCTAAGATCAAGTATCTGGTCGTCAGGTGGAGTTGCGATCGCCTTTTGGAGGTTTTCTTGGCTCGAGACTTTTGTGTCACGGGCCCCAAACTTTCAGGAGGTAAATTGTTTTGCTGCTGCTTTGTATTTTACAGATTGTAAGGTAAGCCCTTTTTTATCCTTTTATTACCTATTTATTCTATTTATTTATTTATTTATTGTATAGTTTTTAAAGCTCTTGGCTGTTGGTGCCTCCATCATGTCGGCTGCTCGTGCCGGCATGCGGAGGCACCACAGCGTGCGTTTTAGCCTTTTAGACAATGTTAAGACGGTTGAAATGTCCAGACTAGATTTTTCACGGAAGTATGTACAGAAAGCGCTAAATTACCGTCCCGAAGACTTGAATTGTATTTTTTCCTTGCCTTTTAATAAAGGCTTTGACGTTAGTTTTAGAAATGCAGCATTGCTAGCAGAATTTTGGAACAGATTTGAGAATGTAAAGACCCAGTTCTCCATGTTTAAAGTTGAGAAGTTGACTGACAACACACATAAGGTGGTGATTGTTAGGATGTTCAATGAGACTGTGACTGGAGAAGACATTTGTGTATGGCTGGGTAGATTTTGCACTGTAAAGAGCCAGGCTATGAAGGTGGTGGATGAGGATGGCATCTGGAACTGTTCCTGGAGGATCCCGATCAAACAGTGGGAGGATCCCCAGGGGTACCAGGGCCTAAGACATCTGCCATCAATGATAGTTCTTGGTGAAAACAGAGGCTACATCCACTACCAGGGGATGCCCAAGCTGTGCCGCAAGTGTGGAGAGTTTGGGCACCTGGTAGAGGCGTGTGAGAAAGTGTTTTGTAGGAAATGCAGAGAAATTGGGCACACTTTTGAAGAGTGTCCCAATGGCAGAAGTTGCAACCTCTGTGGAGACTCCTCTCATCTCTACAGAGATTGTCCAAAGTCTTTTGCTAACAAAGTTAAAGCACACAAAATGGCGAAGGAAAGCAGACAAAGAGATAACGAGGGGGAGGAGCAAACAAATTCAAATCTCCCGCCAAATCTGCTGAGTGCCGAAGAGAGAACAGATGGTAGAGGTAATGAAGGGGCGGGGCCAAGGAGTGAAGTACAACAGAGCGAGGAAATTCAAATTGGTACAGGTGAAGACAATACAGAGGTAAGTGGAAATGCAGGGGAGGACACAGATGAGATACAAACAAAAAGTCAATTAAGTGAGCAACTCCCCTGCGCTCAATCAATGAATAAAAAGAGAGTGGCACACTCCCCTCTCTGGAAAGAAATAGATAAAGATAAAATGGGAAGATTTTCTGACTCCTCCTCGTCAGATGATTTAAATAGAATATTCCCAAGTCATACGGCAAATGAGATTTCTTTCCTAGCGATTGAGCTGAAATCATCCACACCCAGGAGCTCACCCTGTGATTCAGAAGGAAAACAAACTCTCTCCCCTGCCTCCCCTTCAATGGAAATGCAGGAAGAGTTGGTTTTACAAGAACAATTGTTTTTTAATGGATAGTATGGTTTTAAAATTTTAAATGATGTATCTGTCTTCTTTTATACTAATTTTAATGCTCACGACCATCACCATCTCAACCATAAACGTGAGAAGTGTGAGGTCACTTATAAGAGCACAAACAGTTTTAAATTTTTTAAGTACACAACCCTCTGATTTGTTTTTATTACAGGAATGTGCCCTACCCTTTTTAAAAAACTACAAGAAGTGGGAAGATAAATGGCTGCAAGGACCCTCTTTATGGAGCGGCTCCAACCAAAACAAGGCAGACGGAGTAGCCATCCTGATAAAAAACAAACAGATACTGGTGAAGGGGAGCACAATATTAAGAGACGGTCGGGCCCTTTTAGCCAGTATGACTTTTTTAGGGAGGGATTTTAACGTACTAAACTTTTACGGGAACACAGAAAAGAATGACAGATACAGCCTTTTAGAAGATATGCAACCCCACCTTTTAGGGAGAAACCCATTGGTCTTAGCAGGGGATTTTAATTGTGTTTTAGGAAAAGGAGATAGGAGAGGAGCGGGGGAAGTTTTTAAAACAGATAAAACAACACATCTACTGCTGAATATAGTAAAAGATTTTAGATTAACGGACTGTTTTAAGATGATGCATCCAAAAGCAGAGGGCCACACTTGGTTCAGTAGTGATGGCACCAAAGCTTCTCGAATAGATTATGTTTTTACCAGGGAGTGCCCACCGAGCGATGCTAGAATCTCCCCTGTTTTCTTTTCTGACCACGCTATGCTGTCATGCACTCTTACACTCCCCCCGGGTGTGACGGTAGGGAAGGGTCTGTGGAAATTAAACTGCTCCCTGTTACAAGACAAAGAAGTAACAAAGGAATACAGGGAGCAGTATAGGGAATGGCAGACCCTTCAAGACTTTTTCGATTCACGAGCACAGTGGTGGGAGATGGTGAAGGAAAAGACCAAGACTTTTTTTATAAGGGCAGGAAACAGAAAGAAAACCAAAGAAAAGAAAAAGATGGTGGGGTTGCAAAAACGTTTACAACGTTATTTCAACCTTTTAAATATAGGCTTGGATTTTAATGAAGAAATTAAAGAGGTTAAAAAAGAGATGATGATATTATCAGAAATCACAAGTAAGGGAGTCATTCTGAGAAGTAAGGAAAGAGAGGTGGAAGAAGGAGAAAAATGCACAAGGTATTTTTTTAAGAAAATTGTGAGTAAAAGTGGGGCAATGGTAAGGATAAAAAATAAAGAAGGAATATTGTTGACCAATACAAGGGATATTTTAAACGGAGTGCAAGAATTTTATGATGCATTGTATGAGGAAAAAAAGATAGATGAAGAAACATTAAAAGAAGTGCTAGCCCTGGTGGAAAGAACAGTGAAGGAAAAAGAACTTTTAAGGAGTGATTTTAACATTTTAGAAATCACAAAAGGCCTGAAAAGTTTTAAGAAAGGCAAGTCCCCAGGTGCAGACGGACTTCCCTTAGAATTTTACGAGACGTTTCTGGACATTTTAGTTGAAGACCTTTTAGCGGTTTTTAACGACTTTGACAACAGTGACCTTCTACCGGACAGTTTTAGGACAGGTATAGTGACACTTTTATATAAAAAAGGTGAAAAAGAAGACTTGCAAAATTGGCGCCCTATCACTCTTTTAAATGTGGACTGTAAACTTTTTAGTAAGATTTTAGCTACACGCTTATCAGGGATTTTAGCAGACCTGATCCACCCGGATCAAACCTGTGCTGTACAAGGAAGAAAGATCACGGACAGCCTTGTACTGATTAGAGACACCATCTGTTATGCGAGAGACAGAAATATTCGGTTAGCCGTGCTAAATTTAGATTTTGAAAAAGCATTCGACCGGATCTCGCACCAGTACTTGTTCAAAGTACTGAATAAAATGGGGTTTCCAGAAAGATTTCTAGCTTGGGTGGGATTGCTATATAGGGATATAAATAGCAGAATCCTGTTAAGCTGGCAGCTTACAAAAGCAGTTAATATACGCTGTGGGGTCCGTCAGGGCTGTCCATTATCTCCTCTCTTGTTTGTAATGTGCATAGAACCATTAGCACAGGTTTTGAGAAGGGATCAATGGATCAGAGGATTTTTAATTCCAGGGACAGGGGGACAGACTGCAAAGACTGCACTTTACATGGATGACGTGAACGTTTTATGTACGGACATTTTATCGATTCAACGGACCTTAGACTTGACTGACTGGTTTGGGAGGGCAAGTGGGGCTAAACTCA